AAATCTGATAAATATTTTTATTCATGAATGCTTTCAAATGTCAGCTGTCTTTTATTTGAAATAACATGATGAGGAAGTTAAAAAGATAAAGATGAAAAAATCGCAAATAGAAGATCAATTTAATTAAACGGAATCACTGTGCATTACAGATCACAATAAAAATTTGTAAAGATGAACTTAGTGTTAAATCTTTAAAAAGTCAAGGAATTGTACTAAATATTGTAACTAGCGATTAGAATTAAAGAGACAATGCTTTCTAAGTAGAATCCATTGTGACAACCTTTGTGTTGATCAAAAAGTAGACTGTCTAGGTAAAGATGAAGTTCAAGAAGGTAGAACTATACAAAGATAATACATTAAAATTTTTGGAAACAACAAATTGGTGTTGACGTATTAACAGCTGATCAGAGTTAAAAACCGACCACACTGTTTGATGAAGAAAACAAGAATAGGATGTACTTAAATAAGGATAATAATAGAGGAGTATTGCCTGATTTAACAAATTCAACTTTATCGAACCTGAAACATTCCACCTGTTTTCATCAGTGTGATGAAAGTCCTTTAAGTTTAATAGCTCTCTTATACAGTCCAAGGTAGAAGATGGTTTAATGATGTAACATTTAATCTCAGATTAGTTGATTCAGATGATCATCACTTGTGTTAACCTATCTTCACTGCTTAAATAGAAGTTGCAATTTTTCTACTTGTATGTTGTTTGTAATTCCTAGAAATACTCCTTGCACTATTAATGCCAAAATTGGTGGTACATGTGACGCAAGAACTATCAGCATGACAATAATGAGGTCTTTGCATCTATGGCTCTGGAATAGTTGAGTTCAAAACAGTTATGAGAAAATAATCATGTGTCAGTGAAGAGATAAATGGATTCATTGTTAAGAGCTTGCAGACTAAATTAATGTACACCTCCATTTAAGATGCTAATACAATTAATTGCTCATAAATGAGTATGGTTAATAATACACCCCAGATGGAATTTTATATATTTCAAGTATTTTACAATTATTAATAATGCTTAAACCTTCAACATAAAAAGATAATTTAGATTAAATAGTTTGACATGACCTCGATGTGAACTGCCAAAATATGGGAACACTTACAAATGTATTTAGTTGTAACGAAAAGTATGTTGACATATCTTAAAACTGCATATTTTTGATAAAAAATTACATATTTCTTCTGATCTTTGGTTTACTCATTGTCAATAGTTTACTTTTTTGTTACCTTATATTTAATATGAATTAAATCACTGTGTAGGATAGACATATAATTTTATGTTTAATCATTCCAGTAAGAAGCATCAACAAATCTGTAGATTTTATATACTGTAATAGATTCTGAGATCTTTTAAGCATTGAAGTAGATGTTGTAGCATAGAAAAGTTTTTGTATTATTTATTTCGCAATGTTGCATATGGACGAAATGATAGAAAGTCCCATACAAGTTACAGGAATCACAGTGAGTGCATATAGATTCTGTCTTTGATTGTAATAGAAGCAAGCCATTCCAGAGAATTAAAAAGTGGAACACTTCTAAAAAAAAGACTGAACGTTTACATACAATATCTAAGGAGGCTCTTACCTCAATTTTAAAATGGGAGGGATCTTTAATGTTGTGTGTCCGAAATCTGTGACGCCGACCGCGTGGTCTCTTCGCTTATTTATCTCAATAGCTGTGAGTTTGACATCAGTTTGTGTAAAGGTAATTCATCCATCTGCAAAGTTCCATCACTTGTTTCTATATGATTTATACTTCATTCACCAAGTATGCATTCAAGAAGAAGTCATCCATATAATCTTATTGTTTATGAGTTATTGCACAGTGCATATAATTATGTATGATTCACAAAGTAATTCATAAATAACAGTCTTCAACAGCTTGCACTTTTTGTTTGTGACTGAATATGCTATAGGGTGCACTGGATTCACCATTAGCATGTAATTGAACCTGATTTACATATTTCTGATGTTCATGAAAAAGTTGTAGAGGAATTCTTGTCATTTTAAAAATACATTTACCATTTCAAGAAATAAGTCTGCTCATAAGTATTTATTCAATGATGTTCACTGATAATTATAGAATACAACATTCAATTAGAAAGTGGTTCTTCAGTATTTCCTTGCACTGTGATAGGGAAGGTAAAATGTTCACTGCACAAGTGAATGATTTTCTTCAAAAATTGGCTTCATGTGTTGGAACATTTTATATCTCTATAAAAATTTCACATAACAAGACTCCAATATTAGATTTTTTACGAATTTCCTCTTCAGACTCAACAGTGTGCGTTTAACTGTAAGTGCTCCAATTCTTCAGCCTTTGATTTGATTTATAGCCATCCAAGTTTGTACAGGTGGGTAACAACAAAATGCTTCTCATAATAATACCTTTTTTCTATGATAAAACATCATATTTGAAATATTTCTTCCTATTCCGGAAAGTTACGAACAGCGGTCATGAGTTCTGTATCTATAGAGCGCTGTAGGGTAATAATCTCACCAAAAGGGTTGATACCATTTTGCTAATGAGCGACTGTATCAGATAAGATTTAATGAGACAATCTGTCTTACATAACAAGGGCAGACAGAGCTTTCTTGCGTAATCCTCCCAATATAATAGTAGCGCACACAATCGCTCGATGAAAAATCTGTTAGATTAACGTTGCAGATGTTGAGATCAGCTACAATCAAACCCTTTAGGTATGGTCAAATAGCGAAGATCGCATAACATTTTGGCAGTGCGTCAGACATCAGTTTATTCAATAACATTGTTATTGTACAGAATAATAACCACAGACTCACTGACGAAAGTTATAACCATGTACGATTTGATTGCCATCCACTAGTCACTTTACAGGTTTCATAATACAGATGGATTGTTTATACTAGATGCGCATGCATAATACGCATCTCTGAAGAACAGCTATTTCAGGGTGCAATCAAGCATTACTTTGTTAAGAATGTTTTTACCAGTTATATGGGATTTGATGAATGAGGAATGTATAGCAAACTACTTCACAGTAATTCTTCAAGAATGATTATCGATTGAATTCAATTCCATATTCACACACTATATCATTCAATGGATAATAAAGCTGGGCTTCCAAGCAGGTAGTCAAGTAAAAAGTAACTTCTCAGCTAAGGGAAGAACATACTTTGAGCTTTTGTTTGTACTTAATTCTGGCATCAACAAGCTTCGTATAGCTAGTATCATAGATGTCAAACGATAGCAGTCAATAGTTGATACCCTTCCTGGGCATGATGCAAGAAGTGTTAAGCATGTGATCAACTATGTTTCTGCTTATTCTAACGCTTGCACAAGTACCCGTATCTTGTTCAATTGTAACATATATAAGTTACAGGTGTTGTTTAGCATGATTCAGCCGATAAGTGTTTCATATGGAAACCTGAGCTCGTGGAATACTTTGAACTTGGCTATAAATGCAGTTTAACTAGAAGTGGAGCTGGTTACGCTCCGAGCGATATGTTGGCTTGATCCTTCATTGCTATATGTGTCGATCAAGAAACTACATATTCAAGTCAGCTCTGTCGATTTTAACGGGTTACTCGATAAATAGATCAGCTGAAGTGGTAGTAGCGGCTGCATCATAAATGGCACAGTAACCGGTGATCGATTTGATCAATTTGATATGATTGTGAAAGTGAAGAAAGCAGTTGTAACGGCATCAAAAGCGGTGTCGATGAAGATGGAGGTGAGGAGTTCTGCACCAGTCCACAATGCCCGGCTTGAAGAATCAGAAATGTTCACAAATGCTCCTGAATGTTTAACAGTTCTTGACTTGAGTTCATAAATAGCATCATGAGGAAATTATAAAAGCAGAGACGAAGATGGACGAAGAATCCATAACAATTTCGTGAAGCAGCATTCTTTTTAACAGATTCACAATCTAAAACTACGGTGTATGTATCTTTGCATGATTAATAATAAATTATATTTCATAATATATATGCTAGTAGCAACAAATCAAAACGATCTGACAAAGATAGAATAAGATACACTTTTCATACATGTTCATTACTTCAGAAACTTCTTCATCTGTTTTGTTTGATGTTGCATACTATATTGAGCATTTTCAGCTTTCGTAATAAGAGAATCTAATTTATTTAAATGAGATCCCATCTTTTCATTGATGTCTATTTTTTTTGGTGTTGTCGAATCAGATTTTATATTTTCTTCAGTTTTCTTATCATCTGGTAAGTCTACCATCAATTGTTCATCATTCGCTTCTGTTTCATTATTTATTTGTTCTGTCTCATTGTGATTTCGTTCAGTACTCTTATGATCTGGTGTATTGTTTTTAGATCCCACTCTTACTTTGAGTAAAGTACCCAAACTGCCACAAACAGTCTGTAAAAAATCTTGGTTTTATTATAATAAGTATTTTATTTGTTGGTGACAGTTTAAAGATAATTATTAAAATTATTTTTAAATGAAACACATAAAATATAAATAGAAGTTAATATTTTTTAAAATCAACTGATTTCATGATCTGATGTGAATTAAATTTTAAAAATATATAATGAATTATGTAACCTTGAATCTATTAATCTTTTTCTGTGTTGCATTGAGAATGCTGTTTAATTCATCTAATCCACCACTGATCCGTTGTGCAGCTTCATCTGAGGTGTCCAAGTTCTATAAATTATAGAAGAATACATTTTATTTTTTACAAAATAATAAAATAAAAGTACATATTTTATACAATGGCTCACAGATTTATTAGTTAGTAATTTTGAAAACTGTTATGTCATTTATATTTCATTACATTCGCCACCTTTGTTTTCAGTATTTCATCATTTCCTAAGTTTAATTCTAATTTGAAATTTAAAATTATATATCATTTGAACAAAGAAATTTTCATGGATTTAAATATCAGTAACTGTATATATATTTTTTTCAAAAAAAATCGTCAACGTGTTTACCTGAATGATTGCTTCATCGTCCTCATCATTGGCACGATTTTCATCTTCTATCCTCTGTGTCTCCTTCCATTCCTCTTCACTTGGAATTGGCAACCCTAACAGTTCTGCTCTTTCGCACGCATGGGTATAAGTTTGAGACATTTTATCGATTTTTTAATATAAAATGGTAGAAATATAAGAATAATATGAATTTTTTAAATTGTTCTCTAAAAGTATTGAAATTCACGGAACACCGAAGGGTGACAGAGTACTACTCAGAGGATCCATGTTACCAGAAATCGTGCGCAAACTCCGACAGGAAATAAAGTACAGTGTTAAGATGACAAGGTGGTTGCCAGAACAGCATAAGGGCTGGAGGGGTATTTCGCTCCCTCTGTCTGACCTCGCCTTTGACGCTTTCCTAGACCATCGTAGCGCTTCGTTACGTAATCCAATTTGCAAGTGTATTCGTTTCGACTGATATAAAAAATACGTGTGATAGAAGATAAAACTATGAGACGTCGTTTACATCTATATTTCTTTGTTTAGCCAATTTGTCATCTTTACATCGTACTTAATCCTAGAAAGTTTATAGAAACCAATATAGTTCTCTTATAATGTGTATTCGCAAAATAATTTTCGTAATTACTTGAAAACTCACATGTTTACAGAAAACTTAACAATAAGGAATTATAATATACGTATTTCATTTTGATTACTCTGAATAAAGTAATAAGAAAGCAACAGCTTTCCAGTTTCTAAATACTATGCTGTACTACTTCTAATTACTATATCTTATCATATAGTACCTATATTTTAAATATCGATATCTTTATGTAATATAAAATATCTGTATTTCAATTTTCAATAAAAAAAGGAGTGTCAAATTTTAATTCTTTCATTGTAGATTATTTTAATATAAATCGTTGCAACAGGCGGTAAAGCTTTACACTAATGCGTAATAACTTTAATTTAGTATAAATATGAAATATGTAAGTAATACATAAATGACACGACATTGTAAGACAAAGGGTTAAAATTAGTTAAGCTTCTATAGGCGTCGATAGTATATTGTAAAAAAATTTTCTAAGCATGTATAGGCGCCAATAACAGTGAAAGGGTTAAGGATATTTCACTCCTTATATTTGAATTAATTTAAAAAACAATATGGTTATTCTATAAAATAATAAAGCTATATTCAAAGCTTTTGATTATAGATAGAATAATTTGGAATTGAATACTTTTAAACATTTAATTTAATAACAAGTAGATAGATTTATTAATTAAAACATCCACTGTATTAAAAATCGTTTGTATTTATATAGGGCACTAGCAGAGCTCCGTTATACAACTATATTTAACATAATTTCTTTACTCTATTTACTGTCATTCAAAAACAGTTTTGCTACTTAATTATCACAATAAGCGACACACGTACACGCGCACACGTACACTCAAAAACACTCATAATAAAAACACTTATAAATAAAAGAATAACCAATTTAAACATTTTGTATAACTTTAGCATAACAGTCACATGATATTATTATTAAAACTCAAACTTTCAGGGTAATAATTATTATTGTAGGATCATTGGTTATTCTGAGATTGAAAAATATAACGAACTTTAAAAAAGCAGTGCTGGATAAGTACTAGCTATTTAATCTATTCCTTAATTATATTAGGCTATCACCGTAGATAAATACAATGCATATATATTTATGTACAATGTTTAATAATACATAAATCAGTCGTCTCCTTGAAAACAGGGGTTAATTGAAAGAATATTGCACACATTAGATAATTCACTGAAAATACTGGTTGAAGATGTGTTTAAACTATCACAAATTCCACCTCTTCATGCTTTATCAAACTGTTGATCTCATTATTTCTCTTTCAATTGATTGCTGATATAATATGACAAACGGGATCAATGATGATTCTGAAAGTATTTACAAAAGAAAACCGTAGGAAAAAAGCTATTTTATAAATTAAATTACTCAAAATAATTCTACTGGCATGCCATGTTAAAGTGATCAGACTTTTTCAAACGGTTCTATGTACAAATAACTTTCCTAACAGTTACATTTACATTCCGAAATTTTATACAAGCAATGATGATTTCGATATACCTTAATTTTGTTTTGTATACTCTACACTTTATATAATATCGTACGAGCGTAGCATTTAACAAGCGTCCTCTGCACTTAAATGAAACCAATGCGGTTTCAGAAATTTCGATTTAGCTTCAACAAGCATTGTTGATTAATCTATTTTAATCAAAAAAATTTTCTCACCATCTTCCTAAAACCAGTACTTTTTTTGTCCTTTTTTTTTGACATTGATATAACACTACTGCTTCTAGATTCATCACTTTGATTCACCGATAGACCGTTAGCAGGTGTATCACAGTCATTACAAACGTTTTCAGGCAATGATTTTGAAATTGTGGGACTTATTCCTACAGATATATCGTTCGAATCACTCGAATTTCGACTCCATTCTCCGTTTATAGAATTCAAATGAATTTTCCTCTTTTTTCTTGTACTTAAAGCAGTTTCAATGAAGAAGGATGTCGCGTTCAATTTTGTATCTTTCAAGGTTACACCACTATTATTAAAATTCAAAGTATCTTTCGATATTTTAGTTTTCTCGCTTGGATCAACATGTTCTGAAAGCATGCTTACTTTCAATACATTTGATTCACTCAGGTCTTCAATGTATGAACTACTCAATTCATAACTTTTTACCGACTCCGTATCGAAGTTTTCTTTATATGATTTTATTAATTGAACACTGGGTTCTGTCTCATAATTGTTGAACCAATCAGTTGTGTTTTCCAAAATAGATTTTGGCCTCCTATAAACTTGAAAATCATTTGATTGAGATGTTTTAAGAGTTGAAATATTCCTTGAAATTACTTCTACATCATCTGTAAGAGTATTTGATGGATGTTTGTAATCCATAACTGAGTTCATTCTTACTTCATTTTTCATATTTGTTTTGTTACTACCACTCGCAGCTTCTTTCTTCCGTTTCTTTTTTCTTTCTTTTTTGGATTCTTGAGATCTATCATCTATCATCAACTCGCGGTACGTGCCAGTGATGTGAGATGCTATCTCACTTGGGCGACGTTTTTTAGTTTTCTTTACGTGAGAGCTAAAATTTTCTGCACTTTTTCGTCGTAATGTGTCTTTCTTCAACTGCTGTTTTTCTTTTCCCTCAACTTTTTTGTTTGCTCGACAGTACAATAAAATCAAGCATATCACAAAAATTTGGGAACATAATAACACAATGTATTGACCTATCATTGCAAATGTTCCATGCCAACTATTCCGGTCGTACAGAAGATTTTTCAGTGATTTGGACAAAATGGCTATTTCTTCTCTTAGCATAGCGATTTCTTCGGCCTTTTTCAGTTCTCGTTCATCCCTTTTTCTTGTTTCTTCATTCATTACTGACACCGTTCGTTCCAGTGATCTTTGCATTTCTTCAACTTGTTTCTTATAACGTCGACTTAGCTCTTCTAAGTATTGTCCACTGAGAGACATATTTCTCTCTAATGCCTAAAAATGAAATTGTAGTAGTTAATAATAAATTTACAAAAAACTTATGATTCATATTTGTAAAGATTAATTTGATTAACAATGACTTACCTTGATTCTATTAGACAATCGAAGAAAAACAGATTCTTTCTGTGGCATGATGTTCATTGTCGATTGTGTTGCAGAAGCACTTGCAGCAGATCCGCTTTGCATCTGCACTGCTTCTCCTTCTAAATCTTTCAAATCTGATAATAGTGTATCAAATGTTAAAGAATCTTGAGAAGTTAATTTTATTTCTTGTTCTAGAATCTCTGGTTGTCCTTGCTTTCCTTCTTGTTCAAATCGTTCTATTTTTTCTACGTTATTTTGTATGTTTCGAATTTCTACAGATTCTATGTCAGACAACATATCTTCATGCAACACTTCGCTATTATCACCAATAATCACTGGAATGGTGGTTGTCGTTTGAGGAAAATTCTCAATCGTAGTACCAGGAGTAATAGATGATTCTTCAGAAACTTTTATATTAGTGTGTTGTTCGCTAGTTTGGGACATGGGAATAGTCGTTAACATTTCAGGTGAAGCCGTTTCTTCTACAGTATCTTTGTCCGATTCTAAAATAGAATCAGAAGACTCATTTTTTATTTCCTCTTTTCCAAATGGTTTAGTTGTTTTAATTTGTGAAGCTACATTTTCAGAACTTGAAGGAGTCTCGATGGATTTTTCAGATTCTTCGTTTAGTAGTTCTTGACTTGTTTTCTGATATTCCCCAGGAGACACTGACTCAGAACTGCCACTATTTGAGCTTGACGTATGTGCTGTTGACGAACTTTCAAATGATTTAATGGACTCACTACTATAATTTCCATCATTCTTACGAGATATATTTTCCTTACTGATATTTTTGGAATAGTTAAACTGCATTTCATAACTTGTATTTAATACCATTTTACCTTCTTTTATTGCCAACGCATTGCAAAGCGCTGCAATATACTCAAACTTAAAGATAGATGTCAAGAACGACGATTGCAAATTTTTTGTTGAGTTAAATTTTGCTTCTGAATCTTTCATTTTCGCAATTTCCAGGTCAGAACTCTTTTTAATAGAAGTTCCAAAGCCTACTCCATAATTCTTGCAGAATCCACTTTGTTTTAATGTTTTATTTATAAGGTTGACCCTCAACAACTGATTTAGTTGCTTATTTTGACAACTAACTAATTGGAAGACCTTTGCAAATTCTTGGGTCGAACAACCATTGCAAAAAATCATATATTTTGGCGTAGTACAACATACAAAAGAGTCTCCAAGAATACTAGCGTCATCTATACTTTGTTCAATTGCTGTAATGTTATTATCAGTTAAGTCACTGGATTTTCCTAGTACCTGGGCAGCTTTCTTCACAATACTTAGTACTGCATCTCTAGCGCTACCAAATAAATTTCTTGGAGGTTCATCAATTTCAATATCTAAACCTTCTTCTTCGTCACTGTCTTCATCATCGTCCACATTCGTATTCGCTTCTCTAGAAATTTGATTTTCCGTTTCCGTTTCTAAAACTTCAAATTCGCTAGTACCATAAGCACGAAATAAAGAAACTGGACAAAAGTGTTCAGATCCATGATGCGTATGAAGTTCCACTTTAATAAATTTTCCGAAGATATGTGGTTGTAGGACGAAACTTTGAATATCCTTTACATCTTTTGCGGTGAACTGACCAACTATACTCCAATCTCTCGTAGGAAAACGATCGCTAATGTATACTGAAAAATCTTTTGGAGATGAGCTAAACAACTCAAAATTAGCCAACTCAATTTTCTTGGCTTGGATGGCCTCACAAAGTTCTACTACAAACCATATACGAGATGTACAAGTATTTAGCATATATTCATCTCTAGTAGACGCAAGAACGCTTCTAGCACTTCTGGCTTCTGGATTCGTTGCTACAACTTTAGCTCCACAGTCTGGAGAAGCATAATTCTTGGAACGAACCTTCATTCCACCAATTCCTCGAGCTGGTGTTCCAGAATTTTGAACTGATGCATTTGAATGAGCTGAAAACAAAGAAGTTTTTACTGTATATAGCACAGTTAATTTTAAAGTTTTTATCAGTTTATACACTTACTCTTCTTTTTTTCAGCTTCTTCCAATCTTTTTTGTGTCCACTCATTAAAAGATGGAATATCTTCATGTGGATCAGGAGATCCTACAGATACAATCTCTTCACCAATGACAATGGTAGCAGGAGCTTCGTCTCTAGTATGTTTGATTAATCGAGCTTTGGCATCAGAGTCACTGAGTTCTGGAGCTATTGTGACTATATTATCCGTTTTTGTAACTTCATCAGAAAGTATTTTAACTTCATCTTCAAGGAACTCTGTTTCGTCGATAATAATAGGACCCTGTTCAGCTCTAACTACCACTACTCCTTCCGATATTCCTTCAGTAACTTCATTTGGTAGTAATAACAAATCTTCTCCAAGAATATTTGTTCGGTTAGATCTTTCAGAGTTTTCTTCGTCAATAGTTGATGGAACATGTGTGCTAGATGATATTTCTATCTCTTCTTTTTTTGTTTCTTGCCCAATCTTAGATGTTTTTGTTAATAATGAAGAATTCTTTCCAAATAATCTGCCTCTTGCAAATTCTGAAGTTAATTTTGGTTCTACTAAACTTTGCAACTCGGCTGCAGCTGTATCTAATAGAGTTAATACTGAAGCTTGTTCAGTTTCAGAAATTCTGTAAAATGTAAAAGTATGAATCTTAAACACTGAAACATATTTATAATCCTTTATTTCCTTTTAATCATCTATACAAAATAGTTACCTATATAGAATAACGCATAATATTGTTACTTAACTCTTACAAATCTTACGTCAATGTCAATGAAGGTATTATATAATTCAAAGTAATGAGATTTTCTTTCGAGTGATGGCACATAATAGAGACTTACCCCTGGGATAGATTGGGTTGTTGAGGAAGACTCTCAGCCACAATATTTATATCTTCATAAGGATTCTCATTTCTTTGTATTTCACCATTTGTAATAGTTTCAAAGTTGATAGAAGTTTTGGGAAATTTTTCCTGAACATGATTATGATAATAATAATGTTAAAATACATACCATTGTATACATAGGAAACAGTATATTATATTTTTCCATTTTGAATCTTTACCTGATAATAATGATCCTCATAATTAGTTTCTAATTTTCTTGGATTCTTTATTTTAACAACAGCTATGTTAGATAACTCAGATGTATCGTTTTCTATGCTCTCCAATGTATCATTATCATAAACTTCTGATGTTTCATTATTTTTAAAAGATGAATGATAATTGTTTTCTGCATTTTCTGAAGCTACTATGATGAAGAGTAGGGCACTGTTAAGAAGATCAAATAATTTTATTTGTTAAACTATATGTATGATAAAATTGTATCCTTCAGAATTGTAAATGATTATAACTTTTTAAACAAATAGAATTTATTATAATCCTCTTTCGAAATTCCTTCAATTATTTACAATTAAATGATATTAATGTATATGTAACAGAAAAATAATATATGAAACAAAATTAAATCCATTGATTTATTTCATTATGTTTTTTGAAACACAGTGTAAATGAAGATGT